TTCGCTTTTCACTTTAGCTCGCCTTCAATCGGATGTTCTTTGGCTACCGAAAGGATACTTAATCTAAGACCGGAAGTAATATGCGGCTTAAGTCATATGTCAAAGATTCGGCCACTCCCAAACGAATGACAATCAAAAAACGTTCCAAACTTTCGTGAACTTCTACATATGACTCCATTCTTCGGTATAGATCGATGATAACCACCTTTTTATGGCCGAAATTGGAAGAAGTTGACCTTTACAGCATCTGGTTCCAACAAGAAGGGGCTTGTTTTGATATTGGATTATTTCAAGAGTTTGTTACATTGAATGACCTCCAAAAAGTTAGAGTACTTCTTGTGGAGTTATTTGCAGTCATTGGTCTCTAGAAATAAATCAGCTTTTGAAGTCAATATAACACAAAAGTATACATTTTTTTGTTAAGACAAAAAAGCTTAAAGCGCAGAATTTAGCATTGGTCTAGGGCGGTAAGTTGTCTTGCGTCGTCCCTGTGTCTTAAAATTAAATAATATTAAAGTTAATATTTCCGGTTTTTTTTGTTTTTTTTTAGCTTTAATAAAATAAAAAAAATTGAAAAAAAATTTCCGGTTTTAATCGTTATAAAGTTAAAAATGCTATTATTGCAGTCTGTTAGCATTACTTTGTTAGCTTACCATACGTTTACATTTGACCGTCATAATCACTATTTCGATTCAATTACATCTGCGTAAATCAAGTTATATATAATAATTTAAATTCCATATGAATACTTTACAGTTAACGAGTAGGTGAAGTGCCTATAGCTTATTGTTTCTCCGAAAATATCGGTAATAATTTGATTTAAAAATCTGATAATAGTGTGTGCTTGAGTCGAAACTCGTAAAATCGGGTTAATACTTACATTATATATAGTATTATATAAATATTTTCGTATTCTTGTTTGTAGTACCTTAAATGGATAAAAACGGGCCAATAGTCCCATATACGTAATAAACGAGTTTCAAACTTCCGGTTGCATTAAGTTTTGGATATGCTTCAGTTTAATTTCGAAAATTTGTGAAATTGGTTCCAGAATTACTCTATATACTATATATAATATCTATATAATGATTTTCGTTCTTCTAGCTGTACAACACCTTATATTAAATAGGCATGCATTTTGTTTCAGCTTAGTTGTGACTCTGAATTTATTTGTAGTATGTTCTTCATTTTATATATTTTCTAAATGTAACTTCTTAACTATTGTTGTGTATATTGATGTACGTACATAAGTGTAAATATGTATTTTTTTACTGCATACTTCAAATACCAATGAGTGTTCTGTACTGTCTTCCTCATATTACTTGATATATGTATGTACATGTTCAAAGATATTTGAATATTTTGGCGAGGGAAAGAATTGCAATTAGTGGACTGTATGTATATGACTGATACTTAAATTTAATTTTCTTAAATTTAGTTTTCGATGCTTCTTCTTTTTGTGCTTGGTGCTACCGCCGCCATTTATTTACATTTGCCTCGTCTACACCACGGTGCTTTTTGGTTGTGGTCTGGTAATGTTGTCTACGCATAGGTCGCCATCGTCTATATAATATTCTTCTTTTTCAGTGAGATTTGGTTTTGGATTTTCTTCTTTCTCCTCATATGCATCAACGTCATCATTGTCTTCTAAAATATGTCCGATTACTCCAGCCTAGTCCACACTTCTAAAAATTTCAACTTCAAAACCGAGTATATTTGACCAAGTTTAAAAGTTAAAACAATCTTTAACTTTTCGTCTGACTTTATAACATTTTAATGAAATTAAGCTTTTTAATTCTTTAATATGGAACCAAAATAGACAAACAAAATGTGGTTATAAAGCTAAGTGTGTATGGAACCTAGAATACACAAGTTAATAAGATACCCAGCAATACTCTACGCTACAAATCTGAGGATCATACGTAAATATTTATTGGAATAGTTTTTGGTATGCAGACTTTATTTCTTTTATTTGAATACTTTTCATTTTTTTCTTTGAGAAGATCTCAAGTGCCTTTTATTTTCTTTCTTTTTTATGTTTTTTTCCTTAACATGTTCAAAGGATGTGAATGCCTGCGACACAGTTTAATTGGTTAGGTGGGTTGCAGAGGTACAAAAGAATATATTTTTACGATGTTTTTTTTTTTTATAAAACAATTAAATATTTGAAAAAAAGTATATGGTAAATCATTGGTGCATATTTGAACAACCTATCCTGAAATTTTGATATAAACATGCTGAAAATTCAGCCGTAGAGACCTCATCACGTTTAGTTAGGCGATTTTCGTGAATTTTTTTTTAAAGAAAGTACTCGATTGAATGTTTCGAACTTCGCTGAACATAGTAAGGTATATTTCCAGCTATATTGAAAATTTTTTTTTTACAAAAATGTTTAACTTAGTTATGTGCTGTCTTCGGAGGTGCCATAAAAAGTGCCTCAAATGCTGACATGATTCCGGCCGAATGAGTAGCTGAAATAAAAAAATTCAAAAAGCTTATTAAATTTAAAGATATTTCCTAAACATGGACGTACGATCTTTGAAAAATATCAAAAACTAACAAAATGGCGGGATTTTGAAAGAAAAATTTAATTTTTTAGGTTGTATAGTAAATGTTTTCAACAATACTCAGTTTTAATTCGAAGCCCAGTAGTTAATTTGTCGTTGAGTTATGATGTCAGCAATTTTGAAAAATGTCGTTTCGAGAAAAACGGATTAAAGATTCACTTATATTATATATGTTTGTATTTTCAAGTGGTTGCTCTTTAGAATGCTGCCATCCCAAAACTATTTAAGAAATGAGCTCGTCGATTCCACAGGATATTTTTGGAAATATAATCTATCGAAAAACTATCTTTCTATTCTATAAAGTTTTCTTTGTTGACAGTTTGAATGGTTGGAAGGAATTCGGAGTGCACCACACTTCGAAGAAAACTTTCAAGATAATGATGATTTTTGACCTGCTCTGACTTGGATTTTTGGCTTCGCCGCACCTTTGTCACGACATTCGGTCGATTGTTCGTCTGTTTCCGTGTTGTGAGCATAGATCCAAAACTCTTCGTCAGTAATAATACGTAATGTCGGTAAGATCTTTGCAATTACTTTATTTTATTGACGTGTTGATCGTCAGTTGATGTTGATGGAAGCTTTGGACGTGGTTCGCTGACAACGCATTTACGACCCTATTTCAATAATCTGTCTCTTCCAACATTCTGAACGTTTCGGGAATTTGTTTCAGCTCACAAAATTTAATGAAACTTCTTTGTTGATTATTTTTACTCATCGTAAAAATCGTCGAATCCAAAGGCAAACGTATACTAAACACTATTGTTTGATATTGATGAAACCTTGCAAGAAAATATTTCGACGAATGGGTTATCGCGCGAAATTTAAGTTAAAATGTCTTACAATTTTTTACCTACAGTGACCATTGAATTTATAAGACAAATAGGTATAAGTATAGTACATAATAAGAACCCGTAAATTTAAAGAATGGCGTTTAGATACCTACATACAGTAATCTAAGTGCAAAAGCATCTTAGAGAATAAAAATTTTAAACATGAAGTTATAGATCAATGGAAATATATTGTAAATTAGTTGTCTTCGATTCGCCGCTATTTGGAAAGTTTCGGATCGAACAAATCACAAAAGTTGTTTAAACTTGCGGTACAGCATTACGCTATTGTGTTCTTTAAAGAATGTGCAAGTCTGCTGTGTTCCTAGAGAAATATTTCCTTATATTAGTGACCAATCCAAGTACCATTCAATTTCCTTGACAATGAATTAATAATTCGAACAAATAAATGATATACCAAAGCTATAACGTATCCCCCGATAATGATGATACCAGGCTGAGTGGCTAACTTTTAATTAATGTTTAACAAAAATCAATTAAAAGATCTTCGTATTACCATTATTCAGAGTAATTTGTCGTTTAAGCAATTTACAGTAGTAAAAGAAAAATAAACTTGGAGAATTGAAAAAGCGGACGGTTAGATCACTTTAATGAACATGCTATTTTGTATAAAATTCACCTCTCAAATTTTGTTGATAAACGGTCCTTTAGTTTCGAAAATTTTGGAAATGGCCATTTCGGTATCCACGGTGTAATGTTGACAATTTTACCGTATATATGCAAGTACTTCCATGTTACATCGAAGGTCGAACAACATGGCCGACATTTTCACAGTAATCGGCTACAAGAATATAACAAGAGTACAAGACTACGTCGTTATCTTGCCACAATGATGGGAGTTATAACTCTACGCTGCACTATTAGCACCCATTCTTAGCTCATGCGATGAGGCTAAAATTTTGAAGGACTCAAATTGCATAAGTTACATAGAGGAAGGTGAGGTGCATTTAGAAATATTTTCCTCTACTGTCCAGCTTCCGAGAGACTAAGGTTGAAGTATCACGGGAGTCTTCATTCTATAAATCAAGGGAATTGTTGGGAATTGCTATTAGCCGTCTCAACAAATTGATGACTCAAGGTGGTTTATGGGCATGCGGTGATATTTTTAATCCAGTTCTTGGTATTGAAGTTGGACTGGAGTGTCCAAAAGAAATTATTCGTGGCTCAATGCGCTTTGCCGACAAATCGACATTCTTCTTGATCCATACTTAGGGAAATATGGACAACGGACAAATGTTTCTAACTGTCTAAGAATATGAGCCTGATTTCCTCCTTTAACCAAACGAGCTGCTATATATCAATGTTTGAAACATGTATTTCGCAATATTACACGTTTTTTTTTGGTAAATAGCGTACCACGAAATACAGGTATTATGTATCTAGTGATTGGCTTTAAGACAAAATTAAATATGTACATATATAATCATTGTAGTGACTATAAGGGTAACACATTTGTATTTTTTAATTCTGCAAGTACAAAGATGTGTATGTAAATATAGTCACTGGATATATTAATTATATATTGTATATAAAGTACATAAAACATATATATGCTTATGTATATTTAAATGTATATACCTTATAGCTTCGAAAACATGAGAAAAAGAATAAGGAAAAAAAAGAAGGTCAAGCTACAAAAGAGGAAACAACCGAAGCAGCTATATTGGGCGGTGCGGGGCAGGTACAAACGGGCAGTAATGACGGCGATTCTGGAAAATCGGTTTCAGAAGCGGGAGCTACCGGAGCAGATGGAGCAACAGCTTTTCGCTACTGCATGCCAACACATGCAGTATTCACCTCACCAGTACCAACGGCATGTACTTGTATATAAAATCACCTAATGTTTTCGTTCTAATATGCATCCAATCACCTAGCAAGAAATTTGATTAAACTATATCAATGCTTACATAGTTTCGATTTATAAGATTTCATAAACACATATGTACATATGTTGAATTTGCATAAGTCACTAAGAAGTACATAGATACTTTTATAAGCTTTTTTGTTTAATGCCTATATATATTAATAGTTTGGTATTCTGTATGTATTAATTAAAAGTACTTTAGTTTGTCTTATTTCAAGCCAGTATTAAAATAAACGCTGTAGAACTTTTGTTTTGATTTTAGCTAAGTATATACATAAATTACATAATTAATTATTGCGGTACACCGACCAAATACACACATAAATAATCAGTATGATTTTTTTCAGACAATTCGAAGCTCGAAAGATTTGAGTTAAAAATTGAAATATTACGTCAATAAAACTTATGGCACGACTAAGTATGTACATATTTGGGAGCAAACGACATACATATGTTTGTTAATGCGTACATAGTACGTATATGGAAGATGATTGCTCCCAAATATGTACATACTTAGTCGTGCCATAAGTTTTATTTCAAGTTGAAGTTGTTATAAAAATGAAACCTTAATAGATTTTTAGTAAAATAAATTTTCTGTACAAAATTTTATTCAAAACTAAAGAGCCCGGCAAACACTGTTTTGTCTTAGAGGAAACAAATATACAGGTATCTCTTTTGTTAAGTACCTTATGATACACGATATTTTCTATTTAATTATCAGGCGCAAGAACAAACACCGCAGATGACCTTCCGTCCCTTCAACATGCCACATATAAGTAATTGACCATGAGAAAAACGCGGAGAGTCCATATTCAAACTATAGACATAAAAGATTGACCTTGTGATTTGTTAATGGTCATTACGAGTGACAAAATATCCGAAATTGAAGTACTTTAATCTCAAACGGCATGTTGGCAAGGTTCATCCAAGGAGTTTAAATATTCAATTGAATAGTTAGTGGCTTCCTCTTAATTCATTACTTTTGTAATGATGTTAGCTGATATGTTTGTCTTTCGATGAGACAAAGTTCCAGAAATTATTGAGAAATGAAATCGATCGATTCGATTCTTCAACATGTACTTAACTATTACCGATAGTCAAGAATTGCTCAAAAAAATCTCCAGCAGATTTTTCATTAAGCCATTGATTTCACAATTTGGCACTCGCATTCCTAACTTGAGAAATAACCTAGTCTTCGTATAAGAGTAAAACCCTATTATGTATCTCTTTATTCATCTCAGGATCATCATTTCTGGAGGGGATACGAATTTGATACAAAATATTTCATAAAATCGAGCCTTGCTATTTTACAGTCCTTTCATTTAAATTTTTCGTATCCTTCTTGCATTACTGCATAATCGAGAAACATTGGATCGTCTTGGCCGCGGGATTGTAATGATGATGTCAAGTCACACGGAAACATAAAATTTAATGATTGTATGTACACTAGAGCTATGGCTTGGTATTTTACTTTTTGAAGCAATAAATATTCAAATGATTCTTACAAACAATAAATTTGAACAAATCCTTATGATTTGAAATATAATTTTGTATTTATGAGTTGTACTGGATTCTAACATAAAGAAATGAAAAGTATCCTATGTCCTTGCCCTGGTTCAAAGCTACTTCCCTACCAATTTTCAGCCAAATTAGTTCAGAACGGTCAAGAACGTTCTTGTGTTATATTAGGTTTTCAAAAAAGTCTTGCGGTATTTTCGCTAGTTGGCGCTAAGAGCGCGTAGTTCTAGTTTTATTCGTCGCATCGGGTCATGCTATATCTTGTTGGATATTTCACGCGCTAACACGAGTTTGATTGATTGTCGTTTCTTCTTAGTAGTTCGTGAGTTATAGCGTCACAAACATGGAGCAAAACAAAGAGAAAATGCTTCATATTTTACAGTACTACTACGATGAAGGCAAAAATGCATCTCAAATCCTCCTATAAAATTTGTGCAGTTTATGGACCCGATACAGTTACCATTTCCACCGCACAACGATGGTTTCAACGTTTTCGAAGATGTCGAAGATGCGCCACGCTCCGGAAGGCCTCTTGTCGAAAATTGCGATAAAATCGCTGAAATGGTCGAAAGAGACCGGTATAGTAGCAGCCGTAGCATCGGTCAAGAGCTGGGCATGAGTCATCAAAAAAATGTTATGAACAATTTAAAATTCAATAAAAATACTGCAAGACTTTTTTGACAAACTATTAAATAGTGTAACTAACACGACTTTCGTTTATATACATACACATATGTATTTATATAGATATATAGATTTCACACAAGCCGTGAAACGACGAAGCCATTGATCAATGGCAGCACACACATTTTCTATTTAAATAGGTGGCGCTGGTTGAACCAACGATTTTTTAGAACTTTCCAAATTTCTATGGGATATAAGGCAGTTCATTTTCTAGAACTCCTATCACAAATTGAAGTCAAATAATTTCAAATTTACTCTTCCAGACTGTTTACCTCGTGCGCTGGAGCAGAATCTTGTAGGTGATCCTATGCTCTTTATTGAATAGAGCATTGCCACGTCTTCTAAAACATCCTGCTGGTACACTTTTGCCCCAGTGTGTAATCCCTTCTTCATAGAGGCGCACAAGTGTACCGCCTTTACAGGAGACACTCCACCAAAACATTACATTACTGAATGGTGACAGCATTGGAATACATTCTTTTGCGTATGCGGAAGTTTTTGCGTTAATTGTATCGTTTTGCTTACACCAGTGAAAACCACATAATCGACAACAGCATTTTGACATTGATCTGCGTAACAGAATTTATGGCCAGACTAAGTATATACATACATACATATATCTTGAAACCTTTGAGAACATTTTTTTGCGTGTATGGAAGTTTTTACGAAGATTTCATCGTTTTGCTTACACCAGCGTAAATCACTTGATCGACAGCAGGCATCTTGACATTGTATTGAAAACAGAATGTATGGCCAGACTAAGTATAATATGTTCAATTATTAGATTATACAACTAAAAGGAGAATTAGTGTACGGCCGGGTATGTTTGTTGGGATTGGATGAAAAATATTTTACGCCTCTCTCAACAAACATACGCATACAATATGAGTACGATTAATTAGTGGTGTTTTGGGATTCAAGACAGAATTGCTTAGCTGTCAGAATTGCAAACCAATTCTGATTTTCAATAGTGTCACAGAATCTGTTTGGATCTTTCGTCTTGTCGAACATACGCAAAACCAATATTCGAATCAGCTGTTTACTAATGTGACAAAACTTGCAAATGAATACATTAGGAAGCAATCCTAAAAATGTTTCCCAATTAAAGAAAGATTTTAAGAGATAACATTTATAGAAGAATAAAGACGCAATTGTATGTTAAAATACGTTTATTACGTTTTGTAAGTTTAATATTTTTAAATATCCGGATTTTTTTTACAAAATCTCACTAGCTAAGACATTTCGTGTTTTACACTTATGTTTTCCCCTTTAGAAATAAAGAAAAATTAATTCGTAATAATAAAATAATTTGATTTTTTAACTTACATTTGAAGTCTGTGAGCGACTATCTTTTTGCTTTGTTTCCGATAGAAAACCCGATAAAATTGATTTCCGTGACGCCCAATGACGATACAAATTCTGTTTCAAATATCAAACCAATAATTTCTGAATTCATTACACCTACTATTTTTTTTTTTCGGTTTCAATTATGATTCCGACGACCGAGAAAAAAATGAAATGCTGCGCTATGCTCTGTCGTAGCGGTGGCAAAAAATTGGGAACGGTAGTAGTTTTACTATTTTCTGTCATCTACAAGTAGGTACATATATAGTATGCAAAAGAAAGTCGTATTAGTTACAACATTTGTAACTCAAGAATGGCTTAACCGATTTGGCTTAAAATTGGTGGGGAGGTAGCTTAGAAGCTTTGTAAGGACATATGATATTTTTTTATCTCTTTATGTGAAAATTCAATACAACTAATACATACAAAAATTATATTTCGAATCATAATCATTTGATCAAAATTGATGTTAGCATCATTTGAAATTTTAGTAATTTGAAAATAGAAATAAATAAGTAAAAGCTTTTATATCCATACATGCTTAGTATATGGATTATTCTGATTTTGGTTCTGAACCATACAGTTTTTTTTAGGACGAACAAATTAATTAGGCTGTGCGAATTACTAAGAATGTGCCTGTGCCTAAGCAAATTTAAAAGATGCCGAAAACGTAAAAAAGGGGAAAGTATATATAATTAAAATTAGTCTCGAAAATTCATAGTAATTGAATATTGTAATAGATGATGTTTTTGGTAATAAAAAATGGTAAACATTTTACATAATATGAAAAACATTTTATAATTTATTCAATTATTATCTAATTCACTTTATTAATAAATTTCTTAAAATATTTGATTTTAGATTTATAAAGTCCCTTGATGCAACAAGTGCCAAAATGATTCGCATACAATTTTTTTGTTTGAGTTATTCAATTAATTTAAATATTGTGACAGAAAATAGTAAAAAAGAAAAAACAACAAACAGCAAACAAAATTTTCATTAGCTCCGCTCTGCTACCGCTCCCAATTTCTTGCTACCGCTACGCCAGAGCATAGCGCAGCACTTCATTTTTTGCTCTCGCTACGGCTATAGTTTTTTACCTAACAAACTCGAAGCAAAGTACAGTACCTACTTTTATCAGAGAACGTATATTTATAGAGAAGGCCCAACAACGGACAGGTGTGTAAACTGTCAAAAGCTAACAAAATGCGATGAGCGTGTTTCACCACAGCTAGCTAAGAAGGAGAAATCTTAACAGTGGAGCGTGAACACAGCTGAGCATTCAATGAAAATTTTGCTCAGAAATATACATTTCTATTGCAACGTATGTTAGCCTTTTGCATATAATTCTATACGTTTACATACATGCAATCATATGAATTGATATTGAATATCATTTTGCG